CCTCCCTCTTCTTCTTCTTTCTTCCTCTTCTTCTTCTTCATTTACTTATTTGGTACATGGTCTCACTACCCAGCTCAGATTTGTAGTGATCCTCCTGTCTCATCCTCCCTAGCACTGGGATTACAGGCATGTGCCACTATGCCCAGTTTCAATGGCCCACACAGCATGCCCACGGTTTCAGACCTGGTGCATGTGATGCCAGGGATCAAACTCTGGTCCTTGTGCTTCCAAGGCAGGTGCTTAGACCTCTGAGCTATCTCCTTAGTCCCCTTCGATTCTCTTCAATGTGAGTGCTTATCTAAAGAGTATACTTAGAAGCCACTGGGCTTAAAGAAGGAAGTAAATGAGGCCCAAATATTTAGGCACCACATGCCTCTTTCTCCAGTTCCTCAAAGCAGTCCTCTTCCACTGAACTGTGTCCTCTCAGAGGCTCAACGAAAGAACTAGTCTGATGGAGGTGTAGGCAATAGTCTGATAAACTAGATTTGTACACAGCCAGTGTAAAACCCTTTGGGTTCCAATGAGGTAGACCAAACCCTGAAGAAACTGCTGGCTTGAGCTTTCTAGCATCTTGAAAGTGGCAAAAATGCCCACAAGCGCCTAAATGGGTTGCCAGTCCACTACACATACCATACACATTACAGTAGGGAAGCTGGAGAGAGCATTGCCTGTCATGTACACACTGAGGTTTGTGCGAATCTGTTTGAGGAGACCCAAGGCAATAGCCAGCAGCACTTTTCCACCAGGAGATCCTTCACATCCCAGGTAAGTATCAGTGTGCCTCTTGCATGCTAGTTATCAGGCACTTGTCTGTTCAAGTAGTAACTGACTTAGTACAGTGAGTATGCCCTGGTTACTTTGGCCCCTGCTGCCTCCTCCAGGCCTGCTCAGACCATTTCAATGGTCCACCTGAAATTTTCCTTGGTGGGTCACCAAAAACTCCTGGGCTGTCTAGTAACTGCTGCTTCCTAAAGCCATGAAAGTCCTCATCTTGAAAGGTACTTTTATTGCAATGATTTTTATTTTCATAGTATGTGATTTTTGTATCTTAATTAACAAATCTGTTTCAAGGCTGTAAAAACATGTGTTTTCTACAAGTCTTATAGTAGAAATTATAGTCTTATAATTTTAGCTTTTACATTCAGGGATATGTTTCACTTTTATTAACTAAATTTTTGATGTATTTGTATTAATTAAATTTTTATAATGGAGGTTGGCCTCTAGCTCAGGGGCACAGACTTGTCCAGCAAATGATAAGCCCTGGGTTTAACCTCCAGCGCTGTAAAAATAAAGCAAAGCAACAACAACCAAACTAAAGCAAAACTGAAGTTCACTACTTTCATAAGAATATGCCACTTTTTCCAAAAAATTTGTTGCCAAGGGGACCCTTTCTCCACTGCTTTGCCTGTTTATTAAAGGTCATGGCATGCAGGTCTCTTTGTTTTATTGATCTTGCCTCAACCTTGACACAGGACACTTTCTTCACTGCTGCAGCACAGAGCTGCTCATGCAGGGAGGGCTAAGTCCCTCTTCCCCATCTGTGCTGGGGATAGAATCCAGGACTCACGCAT